ATTTGAATAACTGTGGCAATTTTACAGTAAGACTCAAGCGGCCGAGTAGTAAAGTGGTTGAACACTGGTAGTTCTGACCTGGGTTCAATTCGAGGCGAACGGACTGGCTGCATGGTCGTTTTCGTAGTTTTCTCCATGTGTAACGTGTATGAGCCAGGTAGGCTTAGAAAGTGCGAAACTAAGGGTCTCTAAGGGTGCGAAGGCATCCGCACCCTTAGGGAGATAACCCTTGCATACTTTGCCATAATCTCAATACATCAAACCAACCAGAGCTACAGCAAATTTTGTTGGATATAAATTTTGCTAACTACAGAGGTCAAATCTACAATAACATTATAAACATGTAGCCTCAATATAAAGGTCTTAAAATTTTCATTTTGATTACTGAGTATAATTAGAATATGTATTCTTATATATTTTTCGTTTATAACAAAAACTCTTTATTAAACAACTATTATTTTACTACTGTTTTTCTTCTCTGCTGTTATTAAAAATTATAATTTTATTAACTTTTTTCTTAATAATTTAAGATTTGATTGGGAAGATCTTATATAATTTGGGTCTTAATTTAAACTTTGTAATATAAATAATTTTCAATATTTGTCTAGGGCTTGCTTAGACGCACAATCCAGCACTGCCCATACCACACTCGCCAAAGATTAAATATTCAATAATTTTTGTGCAAAATTAAAAAATTTTGAAGAAAAACTGTACCAGATCTTGAAGAATAATCTATTAATTTGATTTTTGTATCATTATGCACTGTCACCTTTCTAAGATGACAGAAATTCTGAGACAGTTTTGGTCTTCTATGTACACAGCTCGAGTGGATTTACAGAGCGCGATTATTAACGACGCTCAGTGTGGTTGTTAATAGTTCAAAATGTTTGAATTTTTTTGTTATTTGTAAAAATCCTTGCTTGTACAAGTATGTTATTCCAATTGACGAAGCTTGGAATCTTTTGTTTTTCATAGATATCATAAAACTGCTTTGCTAAGAAGTTACATTATCTGCACTTCTTAATAACATTTTGCAGTAAATGCTATTTATTTTATATACTAAAAGGGAGATGAACAAAATATGTTTCTAAGATTTCATGCAATTATTTCAAATATATTGCTTAAAAATGTACATAAAATCGATTGCAAAACTTCTAATTCTGCGCCTTTTGTAAATATGTTCTACATCCAAAAGAAAATCAGATGATCATGATAAAAATGATAGGATATTGATCCAAAACCGTTCTTAATGGAATTAGTTTATTTTATTGTAATTTCAAAGTCTGGAGGTTATATTAATTGATTAAGAAAAAGGAAATAAAATTCAGCTTGAATTAGAGAATAAGATATGTACAGGAAGACTTCACTTAACGCGACTATTTAATCCATCAAGCAATCCACGCTAAGCGAAATCGCGTTAAGAAACCAGTAAACGAGCAGAGTAATTATAATTCATTTAGGAGCTGAATATATTTGAAGATAAACAAAGTCTAAATACCAACATGTAAACATTTAATTTAACTTTATTTTACCGCCCCTCCCTCTAAGAAAAAAGTAGAAAAGAAAAGTGAAACACACTCCTCTCAAATAAGCTACAAAGGCAAAAGACGGAATAAAATAACTATTTAAAGGATATGCGTGGAATTGATCCAAGAGGTTTATCGGGCATTTCTAGACAACATAGCAAATAATAAAGAAAAGACATAGAAAAATACATCTATTACGAACATCACATTGGGGAAAGACCAAATGGGTCGGAAGAATGTGCATTGGAAACATCATGTTTATAACCAGTATGATACCCTCTAGCTGAAATGATGCTTGACAAGGGCCAGATAAGCTGGCAATAATGTCGTTGATCGCTTGTTGTGGCGGTAGCACCCATTCTTGTAGTAATGCATGTCAGAACTCGTGGAGGGTGTCTGGCGGCACACTACGACCTGCTATCTGTAATTCCAACATGTTCCACACATGCTGCATATGATTCAGGTCCGGTGTCACGGAAGATGTGGAATGGTTCAGATAACTCCGCAATACTCGAGCTCTATCCCGGTGGGCGTTATCGTTCATAAATATCGCGTCGGTACCCATTTCAGCGATAAAATTACGCATAAGAGAATGTAGAACTGCTGCGATATCGGACGGGTGTGATGGAACAACCAGGAATCATATAGAGGTCGGTGTGGTCGTTCGTTGCTATCCCAGGCCATACAAGTAAGTCTCCTCTTCTGTCATGGTTTCTTTCGACGATGTTTGGCGCCCGATAGCCTGTCCCTGGCTCTCGCCGTATCATTGTTCTTTGGGAATCGTTCTTGATATTAAAATAGACGGTCATGGTAAACAGTACGTGGCCCACTGCTCTGGTGTCCAATTGCGAGTTTTACGGGCCCAATACAATCGCGCTGTGACACGCGATGGGTACAAAGGAATACAAACTACAGGTCGTCGGGCGTACAGTCCACTTCATGCAGTCGACGCGACATAGTTTGGGGGATATGGGCCGTCCAGGAGCAGCAGAGAGATGCGACGTCAGCTGTCGTGCTGTTATTTATCTGAGGCGTCTTACACATAGCAACAGGAAGGGATCGTCTCCATTATGGTAATCCTCCGGCATCCAGACCACTTCTTCTACAGCGTTTTTGATCCTTTTGGTAACGATTTCACAGCCTATTGAAGATACTACGATGCACATTCGGCTCTTTCGTAACAGTGGATTGTCCTGCTCTAGCTTGCAACATCTCGACAGCCCTCCAACGCATTTGATTGTGCAAATGGCGTCTTCGCCTCATGCTTTCAGCTTTGGCTATCTCGGATTATACAGAACTATCGCTGACTGCGAATTGACGCATAGGTCCGGCATGCCCCTTTTGAAGGCCTTATTATTATTTATTACGTGCTCCGCCCTTAGACACTACACGGAAAAGGAGGGATGCCCCGTGGAGGTCTTTTTAAGGGAAACTGGCTCGTATCCACGTTACACATGGGGAAAACCACGAAAACGCCCATGCAGCCAGCCCGTTCGCCGGGACTCGAACCCCGGAACGAACTACCAGTGTTCAGCGGCTTTTACCGCTCGGCCGCTGGTGGGCCTTTTTGAAGGCCTTGTGGTGTGACTTCGGGATAGCGCTTTATGTTGATTTTGGTTGCCTATTGCATTCGGCGATGCAACCTCTACCTCATATATAAATTGCATGTTTTTAGTTCCCCTTTTTACGTCCATACCTTTTAGTGATTGTTGCCTATTTTTTGAGCACGAGTGTATTTGAATTAGAGTGCGAATTTTTCCTCTTGCAGTGCAGTCTGAGATAGTTCTATCGAGATTTGCCAAACTCTGAAATTTTCTTTTTTTGTGTGTGAGAATCAGCTTTTACAAAAATTCTTTAGAATATTCAAATTTGGTAGAAAACTAGCTGCACTCAGATTCTTAATCTTTGATTTAATTTCAGATTTAAAATAAGGTCAAAAAATCTAAGTGAGAATATATTTTTTTCTTCTGATAAAAAATAACATAACACATTGACTGAGCACAATAGTTTTTGCTTTTATTTAAATTTTTATGCAAAATGGAATTTTTATCATTTATAAAACATGGATGCGAAGCTTAGCAAATTTTACTAATAAAATAGCATTTATCTTTAAAAATAACTTATTATTCATAAGTAAAATAACTTATTATTGAATGGCATTTTAATAATTTATTATCGAAAATTCCGCTTAAATTAAATTTTATCATGATTGTGAATCCCTACGCAGTGTTTCTTTGATACATTAGCTATATACTTTTTTAAAACATATTTAATCCACCTGTGACTGGAGGTGGATAAGCCCTCTGATCAATACACGTCAAGATCGCTGAATACTGGTAGTTCTTGCTGGGTTTGTCTGACTGCGTGGATGTTTTTCTCCATGTTTAACGTGAATACGAGTCAGTTTTTCTCACAAAGTCCATCATAAAACCATCTCTGCTCTTAGACAGGTAGTCTTTCTATGCTTTGCCATATTCAAATAACCTAACCTAACCTGTTCGATCCAGGATCAAATCCCGTTGAGCAGGGTAGCTGATTGGAGTTCTGTGATTAATGTGAATACGAGCCAGTGACAGCCTTTCTTCTGTTATGTAGATGTCTTAATGCGCTCTTTCCTTAACCAGGACGCGACTGGTCATTTATTTTAATGATACGGACAGGTTTTTAAACATTTTTTTTGCAGCAGAATTATGGAGAAAACATTTCTTTTGTTTAATTTATGAACTAAAAATAAATAAATGATAAAAAATCGTGATGAATGATTAATCGCTCTTGTAAAATGAGAAATAGTGTCATTTCACTTATTTGCGTTAACTAATTATAAGGCGTACCGATTCGCATTAAGCGGGTTTTTTTTTTTTTTTTTTTTTCAGTGTTCTCTCGAACATTTTAGCGTAGCGAATCAAATGTACATAATTACGTTTTATTTATAACGGTATATAACGCTGTGTAAAGATAAAAAAGAAAAAAAAAATGAGGGTACAGACTTACATGAACATAATGTGATAATGAAATAATAAAAAAGAAATTACAACTTTTAACATTAAATTGATAGTCTTAAATTAATGATTCTCTCTATATAAAATTTTGCAGCTGGTCGCAAAAGCAATTTTTGAAAATTGTTAAAAATTGTCGTCTTTGTCATCAAAAATTGCCTTCTTTGTTAGGTCACAGGTCTACGAATCGCGAACCCCTTTGTCAACAGAATTCTGGAAAATAATTTTGAAGCTTTTTAAAATTTTGGTTCTGTTTAACCTTAAATACGAGTACATTTTGGCTTACTATTTTTGATTACATTTCATCTTGGAAAATTTAATGAATATCTATAATTAAGGATGACTACTTTCAAACAGAATAAATGTAACTCTAAAAACATGCTGTGATAACTATTATAGTACGTGTGAAATGTTATCATTCTTTTCTGCTAATACTTAAATTAGGAAATGAAATACACAAAAGAAAAAAAAAAACAAATGTAATTAAATTAATTTATTTCCAATTTTAAGTATATTATTTCTGGCACATATTTATTGAAACTGCAATAATTTTGTTGCAGTCATCTTTTACACTTATATACACAAAGCATTTTATACATTATACAAAACATAATTCTGACAGAAGAGAAAAAGCTGACTTTTTTCCATATAGTTAGTTCTCTCAACAAAAATTTGTACAAAATAAAAATTATGGACAACATTTTTTTACAGCGATGGTTATGTGTTTGACTGGGAGAAAAATCTGAACTGACTTTTCTTTCGTTTCTCTTCTTGTAAATTTGAAATCTTGGAAAAGATAATGAAAAATTGCTTTGTGATATTTTTGTAAGAAAAGATACTTAAGGTACTCTTAGTATAGTTTTGTAATGTTCACATGTTAATATTTAAATACTATAGGTATTAATGTGCTTATTTTCAATACAATAGTGTCAAAGTATCATTAATGGGATACACTGTACTGGCCCAAACGTAAGATAGTTTCACATATAAGAAGACCATGTGTACTTGAAAATGCTTTATAAGGCAGCAAATTCTGTTTTTGTTCAAATGCGAAAATACATTTAATATTCTAGAATTATTATTCGAAACTTTATTCGCTTGTCTTATGAAATATTCTAACATTCAAATGTAATGTACATTTTAAAACCTTAATAGTATATAAATTACGAAAAGGCATTTTCAAATATGTTATCGATCTTATTTTTTACTCGAAGTTAATTTAATTCTGCACATTTTAATTGGATTATTAATGCATCTCTTATTTATAAATGACATAGTCTTACAAATATAAATTAATCTAAAAATACATGAAAGGCATAACAATTTGTGATGGATTTTGATATTTTAGAATGTACTTTAATTTTATTTTTAAATATTTTCTTTATGCATATACATGCTTTAAATTCATGAACACAATTTCATAATATTTCATGTGATTTTTATTTTAATTTTGCATTACGTAGAAATTCTTTCAGATTACCTGAAGTTATTTTATTGTAATTTTTCATAGGTATAGTAATAATTTTATGGCAATTTTAATTGCTTTCTAAGCTTTTGAATACCACTACTCAATGGCCATCTTTGCCCGGAAGCTTTTCTTGGCTATCCTTCTTGTAATGACAGAGAGAAAACTGGGAAAAGTGGAAACATCCATCTTTTTTCCATATACACAAATACTCAGATCCACTGGATTTTCCCATTTTGATTTATTTCTCCTCGTTCGAATTATTATGACTAGAAGTAAGTTCCATAGCAACCTGAAAAGAGAGAATTTTGAAATTCATATTCATTTCTGCAGTTTTATTACGGAACATAAAACAATAGGCTAAACAATTGGATTATTCGCTAATTTAAACAGTTATCAAAGAGGGCAAATTTTATAACTTATTTTACTTATTTAATGCGACTCAGTATAGTTTTATAAGTTTATAAGACTGAAAGGTGTAAGATATGCAAAAAATTCATAAAAATAAAAACAGAATTTAATTGTACCATATTGGACACTGATCTCTTCAAAATAATTTATTTATTTTTTTAAACCAGACTTTTACATTTTCTCATGTTTTAGGAATAAACTTTCACGGTAAAAACAACCGTTGCTTGTAGTGTTACAGAAATACTGGACTATAAGTTCTCTGTTCTGCGGAAAACTTTGGCTAACCTAACTTTATTTCTAGATTAAATCAATTAAAATTTGCTTTCCCTAAATGAGCAAAAATTAATAAATAAATAAATGGTAGTAACTAAGATTTAGATATCCTATAAGTTATTTTCCAATACGTACCATGTTACAGTTTGTTATTCTTTGGGGAAATTATCTAAAGACAATCATCATATTATACAGAATATTCCATGGCAAACAAAAGTAAGCGGTCGTCCACCGCTTACTTTTGTTACTTAGAACACAAAATCTGCATCTTTCTTCATGAAATTAGAAGAAAGAAATAAGAAAAAAAATTCACGAGAAAATTATTCTTTTCTCTATAGAAACGGCAATATTATCACTTTGTTTTAATAAACTATTTAAAATTTTGATTTGATACTATTGTAGAATTACATTTTTAGTATTCCATTTTGACTTTTTGCTTTATGTAAGTATGTGTGTCAATAGCGTTATATCCAGTTGTCTCGATTCAAATCCCGACGAATGGGCGACGAATGCACGAGAGTTTCCATGGTTTTCTTTGTGCTCGTGAATAAGAGCCAGTTTAATTTTAAAGCGTCCTCCACGAAGACATCCATGCTCTTAGACAGGTAGCTCTTGTATGTCTTTTCGCAGTCCAAATAAACCAGTAGCGTTACATAGGAGACATAAAAACCCATTAATTAAGTAAACATCCGTAAAATTAAGCATAAGAATTGTTAGTTTTAATAAAGAAAGGGAAAAATGCATTTAAATGAAAAGTTTTATCAGCTATTACATATTAAAATTTAATAGCTACAAATATGCGTACAGATTATGTATATTATATATGTGTACAAAAGTAAATGCAGAAGGAGTTTCTCTGAAATGTTTGCGTAAGCAATTTAAAGCATAAAATTTAGTAAAAATGTCGTTGCATTAGAAAACAAATTTAAAAATGAAAAATTTTTTTAAAGATCTTAAATGTTTGCTATACTTCAATTAAAAAAGTATTCTAGTTCATGGCATTTTCTCCTGTTCTGAAATGTTTCAAGCAACATTTACTTAACAATCACGGAAGAGATGTTCTATTTACATAAATTTAATTTAGCATTGTAGAAAGTATAATTTGTAAATTATCATGAATGCAGTTTTTCAGACCTAACACTGTGGGCATTCATCATTCAATAAATGCTCATCTTAGGAAATGAATGCTTTAATAGCATTTGAACCATTTCTCTACGTAGAAATACATTTAATACTTCAGAATAAAATATCGCTTAATTTGTTTTAAATTACCATTACCACTGCTAACCGTTTGTATTTTTAATCTATATATAATATCTATATATCCGATTTTAATCTATATACCCGAATATAAATAGTTTTTTTAATAATCGAATAACGAGAAACTAGAATACATGCATAGAAATTATTAGACATAATCTCGGTTTATTTGTATATAAAGAACAAGTTACTTGGAATTTATTGTAAATTATATTGCATACATTTCATCTCTACATCTATAAAAGCATCGTATATGACTATGAACGTAAATATTTTTAGCCAAGTAATCAAATAAACGCTACAAATGAAGGACGTACGTCTTCTGATGCTTCCTCCATGTTTGACAGCTTCCCGCTCTTAAAAAACTTGCGTAGTGGTGCCATCTCTCGGAATTTTTCCCAGTTATTTGGTTGACGTCTGAAACTGGAAATGAAAGTCTAAAATAAATTCCTTGAATAAAATTTATTTTCGGTAGAATTGTTAATTAAGCTGGAAACGGTATTAATTTGAAATAATTAATTTAATTAGGTATTCATACGTAATATATGAAGGATTTTTTTTAAATTCTTAAATCTGTCTTTTTACTTTTTTCCTTTACAAATTTTTATGCATATTTTAATCACAGTTCTCTTTTAATTTCTTTTTTATATTTTGACAATTATTATCATTTACACTTAGATTTGTGTTACTATAAATGTAAACAATGTCAAAATGTGTATGAATATATTTTATGTAGTTTGTTATGCAGTTTTATGTAGTTTGTAGTAGTATGTTTATTATTTTCAGTGCATAGACACTGCACGTGTCTTAATATTTCTATGTATGCACAGCGGCCAAAACCATTTGTATGATAAACGTATTCAGTGATTTCTATAATTCGGAACAGGAGTAATAATTTGAACAGTTTCTCCCGTTTTTTATTGAGTGGACATTGCACTTTGGAGATACATGCACTGAAAATTCCATTCCAAATGGAACTTTCAGATTGCAAACGAATAAATGATAACAGTCAGTGCAGGTAATAAAGAGCAACATGGACACTTACATAAACGTATGTAAGTGCCCATGTACATTTTATAGAATGTTCAACTTTACACTTCGACACGGTGCTACATTTTATGCGTTTCCCAAATGAGGATCATCAACTGGCATCGAATCACGAAAGCAAGACGCAAATCTCAGTAACGAAGTAACAAACTAGGCATATGAAACTATATTATAGTTTAGGAGACGTCGAGATTTATTAATTTAATGCTTTCATAAATGACAGGTGATATAGAAAATTATTGCTTATTAATTTATTTCTTAGTTTAGCTCTTGTTTTAATGCTATATGCGGCTTTACTAAAACAATTTTAGGCGTGACTGTAGTACGGCAGCAGATCAAATAATGTTTTTGAAGGAGAGAGAGTACCGAATCTAAACTAGACCGGAAAAATATTGATGGGGTTTACTGCTGTATTCCAGGCAACTTTGGTGGTGACATAGCTTTATTCGCACTCTCAATGATTATCTATTATAGCTCATATACTGCGTACTTTTTTAATACTTATTTACTATTAATTACAATATGATAGCTCATCTATAAGTCATTAAATAGTTAATAATATAAGAGAAAAACAACGTTACGGTTATAACCAATGAACAATCAAACTATGTTCAGACAAGAACAATTTTTGTTTATGACACTATCAATAAACAGCGACGTTCGTCTAAGCACAAGTTCCGAGAATTGCACTAACGAAACGGCAGCATGAGGTGTTTCCATTATAATTACAAAGAAAAAAGAAAACATCCTGGATTCGACAGTACTCTGACTATTGTATAAAATTTAGTTTCGAAGAGATGTAGATGAAAAATAATTTTGTGTTATTTGTTATACGGTCAATGAGACCTTCCAGAGTGAGGCAGTACATGGAATTAAAGCATCCGAACTAACAAGCCGATAAATTTCTTTAAAAAGAAAGAATTAACAGCTAACAAACAAGCATTGCCTTCGAATATTTTTCAGAGGGTTTTTGTCTGAAAATCTAATTGTGGCTTCTTATGAGATATACCAATTAATTGCTAAAACTGGATATAAGTTAATAGTTCTTGAAACGAAAACGTTACTATCTCCTATGTATGATAATAAACAACAAAGCAGATAAATAGAATCGTGGAAGTAGCAGATACTATTAAAGAAACTCTTGTACTTCGCTTAAAAGAGCATTTCTTTCTTTCTTTCATTTTTCTTCAAGTCGATGAAAGTACGGGCATATCAGACAATGTCAGTTTAATGAGTTTTGGGTGATATGATTTTGAGACTACATCTAATGAAGAACTTCTGTTTTACATACCGTTGAATACAAGAACAACGGCAGAAGAAATTTTCGTTTTGATTTATGTTTACATCAGTAGAAATTACATTGACGAGAAACTGCGTGGGAATGAGCAACGGCGCTCGCGCAAAGGCAAGCGTCTGTACAGGGCTTTTCCCAAAAATAAAGCCCATGGACCAAAATATGTATGCTTGCATTGCAGCATACACAGAGAAGTCTTTTGACCATAAACAAGCGCCATTGCTTTTGCAAACTGCTATGCAAGAATATAAAAGATTTATAAATTTCATATAACAACGTGCTTTGACTTTCAGGTTATTCAGTGCATTATGTAAAGAAATAAGCAGTGGGTTTTTTTTTTTTTTTTTTTTTTTTTTTTTTTTTTTTTTTTTTTTTTTTTAAACAATGACCATCCAGAAGCAATGTTTTGTAAAGACGTTTGGAAAAGAGAGAAGTTTTAATGATTACTAATCATTAAACCTTCTAACTACTAAAGATGCAATATTTGAATTGAAAGATAATTTTAGCGATGTTAATTGGTTGACGAAGTTATCTTACTTTTGACTTTTTCATTTTTTAAATAAATTAAATCTTTCGTTATATAACAACAATTTTACCATATTAAAGTACAAGAAAAGATAGAATCTGCAATGAAAAAGGTCAGTTTGCGGACATTTCGTGTAGAAGCAGAAATTATAATGCTTTTCTGAAGCTAACTGAAGTATGAAATTAGTTCCATGCCTGATGAAATTTCATCTCCTGTCGAGAAACATTTGATAGGATTGCAAACAAATCTGAAAGAATACTTTTCACCAATTTATAACAACAAAGCATTGATAAGAAACCGTTTCACAATTAATATAGAATGAGAGACGGAATCATTGGATTCAGATATTGAATCGAGAGATGTCTTGAGATACAGCTGTTAAAGAAAGCTTCGACAAAATACCATTGATTGATTTTTGGTTATCCTGCAGTTTAGGCATCCTTTTTTTGGCACAAAAGGTATTTATGTTTCCAATGCTTTTGTAACAACTTGCAATTGTGAATCAACCTACTTGGCATTTGTTTTTCTAAAAAATGAATACAAAAAACTGATTTGATGTCGAACCAGATTTAAGAATAAAGTTATCTTTTTCGGTAGGCGTGAAATTTTTAGTTAATCAGAAACAGCACCACACTTCCTATAAAAACTTTTTCCCCTTTTGTTTTAAAAAAGGTTTGGAAAACTCTGGTCTAGGCTATACAACGGTCAAATGACATACGAGCTTGCGTTTCGCCATTTTTGATATTCGCTGGCTCTATGCAGTTATGGCACCCATTGCCAAATTTGTAATTCATACTTACAAACAGTTTTGCGAAATGTATCTCTGTCTACACTATTAATAAATGCACAAATATCATATTAGCTTAGAAAGTAGCTTCGCTAACTTTACTTGCTCATTTTATAAAATCTTACAACAGTATCGCGAAGAATTTCTCAACCAATTTTTTATATTTGCGTATTTACCTTGTACCACATTGTCTAACTTTGATTGTCTTATAACATTTAGTCTGTAAAGCATCTTCGGCGCTTTCCATCGAGAATTTGTCTTACCGGTAGTGACGTAGTGAATTTTTTTTGCGCTTGTTTTGGACTCCAGACACGACAACCAGTTGATAAAAGAAAAGTATTTCTCAAAACCTTTTCTGGGGATTGATCACCCCTCATTTACCTACTTATGAAGATATTGGGAGGGGTGACTACAGATCGTTTTTCTTTTAATAACATATATTGTTAGACGTATACTTGGTAATTAACAAAATTTCTTAAAATAAAATATATTTATGAGAACATTTTCAGCATACAGAATGGAAAAATTTTAAAAATGTAAAATTTCTCTTTTCTTTTTACAAGTTCTTGTAGAACAAAAATTCAATTAGGAAAACGTTTATTATGCATCAGGCACATACAGAAAGCTAAGCGATTTTAAATACAAAATGTATTGAAATATTCGTAATTAAAATTTCTTTGGAGCCATAAACAGAATTAATTATTAATACTGCTTTACCCAATACGTCTTCATTAATCTATAAAACTAACAAATTTGTTTTGTAATTGCTTTAAGCGAAAATGTGAAGTGTAATTTAGCAAGGATTAAATTTTAGTCAAAGTGCACACTAAAAATGCTGTATCATCTCGAATTGTGAAAGCAAATGTGTAGCTTTTGATTTTCGTATTTAAAGCATTAATGCATAATGAATATTTTACCATTTGGACTTGCTGCTCTATGATACCGTGTACAAAGGTAAATTCCATATTGTTGCAAGCTGTTAGTGTGTTGATAACTCTTTAAATAAATACTCCAGATAAGCAGGAAGAAATCGACAATTTATTACGAAACATTTAAGAAACATTTAGGACACGTAGCACAATAAATAGTAGCTGCAAATAGCTTAAGGATAGTGCCCACATTAAGCATTTACTCCTTAGCGCACGAGAAATATCAATTCCCAAAATCAATTATAGAGTAAACTCTAAATCACAATAATCATTAAATGTTACAGCTCATTAACAAATCATTTCACACAAAAAAATTGTTTGTAGAGCTTCGAAAACGCGTTTTCCGAATTTTCCAGAAGGTTGAAAAATATTGACGATTTCGCGACAAAAATCCTTCGGCAAGGCTTGTCACATAGTCAATTTGTCTACATTGCGTGTTCTAGAGATATGTTTTACAATTTAAATATTGTTGGGCTTAGAAGGGAAAGATTTATTATTCTGCACAAGGAATAATAACTTGTATACAAAACATATGGCCACGAATTCGGTTGAAAAACCCATAAAATTATCACCCTAAAAGCAACAGCAGCAACAAAAAAGTAAAATAACACAGAGAAATAACATTGCAATTAAAACGGATTCAATTATTTACAGCAGTATCTTCAAACTATTCTATCTGATTGCTTAAAAATTTTGGGAAATTATATGATTGAAGAGGCACAGTTAGGCATATAAATATTTTTTAAGGAAATATAGTCTGCGGCTACGTGATGCTTCTGTAGGGAAAAAGCGATATATTCTTTGAACTACTAAGAAATGAATAAGAGTCTTATATATTAAGATTTTTATGCTTTAGATAGCTTTTAGCTGCGAAAGAGATGTCGGGAAATGATGCACACAGTAGTATTTTACAATTTTATTCTTGCATAATTTGCAAATACATATTTTCAACACAAAACTATTGACTACTGCAGTTACGTCACCTAGCTAAAATTATATAATTTATCTTATTGCTGTTAAGTTTTCAGATATCGTTACATAAATTATAACATATTAAATTTAATTTATGCTAAAACGTAACCAACTTGTTGCTTTTAAAATGTAAGTTATTATTTATATATTAAAGCAGATTTTGTTGGGTTATTACTAAAACACATGAACACGTACTTAGAAAGGAGTTCACACTTACCAACATAACCAGCACAATCCGAGGCATGCCCAGTTTAAACAAAAGAAAACCAGAAAGAGAACCACGATGGCGATGAAAAGACGATCATGATTTGGATCCAGATCTGGAAAAAAGAACGCTGCGCTTACCAATGATAAACTATTATTAAACTATCAGTTAAAGCACACACGTTTCAGAAATAAGCAAGTATTTGCATTTTTTTTTTATATATGCACATATTTGATCATGCTAACAGAAAGCAAGATCGTGTGTTTAGCGAATAAGCAAGTGGGAAAATGAAACATTATTTTCCAATGATTTCAGAATGCTAATTTTGCTTTGAGGATATATTATCAGCATAGCATTTAGTAGCAACTTAATAATTTTAATGGTTTTATAAAGCTAACGCTATCTGGCTGTTAAATAAATTCCTTACATTCATTCTTGTCATATTGCTAAGCAATATAAATTGTAAGCTGTGCCCTATAATTTTCAGAGCAGTATTTTAAGATTATTTTGTATCCTAATAAAATTTAATTTAATTAAAAAATTTTAATAGTTCAAATAACTTAAGAATGCTCGAAGAAGTGCAATGATAATCAACACATAGAGCGATCATGTTCGAATCACAGTAGGAAACAGAGTTGAAAAATCCAACTAATTTTTCTATCTGATATACCCATGTTAATACGTTTTATTGAGGATGGTACCCAATTGAGCAAAATTGCTATTCATCGCATTCTGTTGGAGGAATGAAGATGGAACAAAATTCCAGGTTGTTTCCCTAAAAGACTAAAGAAGCCCACGTAGCAGAGATCTACTCAGAGCTGCTGACTTAGCTCCAAATTTCTTGAAAATATGATGTCTGATAAAGAACTATGGTGTTTCCATGCGCAGGACCCATTCTTACTCACAATTTAAATAGTTCAGTTATGCTAAAATATTAATAAAGAAAACGTACGTAGATTAAGATTGTACGTTGATCATTCTTTGGCGGAACATATAAGAGGAGAAGGCATATAAAATGGACAAAGTTTTTAAAACTGAAGGTTTATAATGGAAAAATCGCATCGCAGTATGCACAGATAGTGCAAAAGCGATGATGGGCGAAAATATTGGTTTTAAATCATTTGTTAAATCCTCTGGTAACGAATCGTGTAATTTTTATACACTTCCTCATCCATCGAAAGGCTATTGCAGGAGAAAAATTAGCAATGGAATTTAATGATGTCAAAATTATAAATTTTAATAAAAGTCATACTCTTAACATTATTTTTAAATCTCTTCAGAGGATACCAAACAAGTGATGTCAAGAGGGCGAAGTTTAAGAAGATTATTGCTATTTTAAAAGATGAAATTATATTTTCAGCTGAACAAAAATCTGATCTTGCTATTCCTTTACAAAATGATTAACGGCTGTCAAAGCTGTGCTGTTTGTCAAACACTTTTGAGAAACGGTCTCAGCTTGTCTCTTCAAGGAAAAAATAGCAATACATTACTTCGAAATGGTTTTGTTAGAAAGATAAACATTCTTAAGTACTGAGTGAAAAATGATTCATTCGAAATGTTTTTGACTATCAACAATTTTAAGTTGAAAAAAATAACTGTAAAACTTTAATAGCAAAAATTATTATTCTTTATCACTTAAAAAGTCCTAAAAGCACCGTTCCGTAAATAATTTATATCGAATTTTGATTTCAAAATGTTATCTTGGAATCAAAACCATTTTTGACAACTTGTCATATAAAGAGTTTTATAAGTCACAAGGAATTTGCTGAGCTATCGAGTGACTCAAAACTTGAGTTTTCAACAACAACAACCCCCCCCCCCCTCAAAAAAAAAATCCTTTACTGATGGAATACACATTTATGTAAAATTATTTTTTCATCTTACGTACATTAAATGCAAATGTACAAATATCACTGAACGCTAAAAAAACGATGAAGATGCCTTACATTCAGCAGCGTCAAATATTGTGCCAAGATTTAACACGTTATACGGGAATGGGGGAAAAATGCATATCCGACTCATTAAACGCGATTTTCTTCCATTAATTTTTGTATATTTGGAACAAATCCTAAAACTACTGCTTTTCATATGTATGCTGTTTAAAGAAATATATTATTTGCGGGAAAATATTTATTTTTATACCTTTATTTTATATTTAATATCTGGGGTCGCGAAAAAGTCTCAATGATAAAAAAGGGTTATGAAGGAAAAAAGTTTAAGAAGCGCTGCTCTAGAGAGTTGTGTTATTATCTTCAAAATGCCAATGGAAAGCTTATATATGTTTTAAGGCAATAATTGTCATTATTGGTTGCTGAGTTCAAATGACACTATCATAAATTATATGGAATATCAATGATCGTTTTGCATTTCTGTACAAAGTGATTTATTTCACTTATTACGGATTTATTTCGCTCGTTCTACATTTACTACATTTTTGGATAAATCCATCTGCGAAATAAATTTATGATGAAACAAATTCTCGTGTAAAATACTTTTATGAAAAATTAATAATTTTGTATAAAATACTTTTATGAAAAATTAATAATTTTGTATAAAATACTTTTGTGCAAAATGTACAATTAATATTTTTCCCTAAATTTCAGTAAATGATTTCGAATAATTTTTAGTTTACCATTAGGTTTTGATTATTCCTTAATTTATGGAAACTAGTGCAATATAAAAGGCGTCTCCGAACATCTTTATGCATAAATGAATAACAGTCGAAAAATTAATTGCTAGTTTATCATTATGACACATGCTTAAATCATTTTTTATTTAAAAATAAAAATAAATTTTTAATTGCCTTATATATAACTATGATAAGATTTTAAGCTAAATACTTTATTATACTAGTCTCTTCTTTGACTGACATAAAAATTAAAATTTCTTAAAAGATTTACTAGTCATACAAAATGTATACACAAAACGTATTTCTAAAATGTAAACCTCTGTTTAAGGGAATTAAACTATAGTTACTTTTCGCAATTTGAATTTTAAAAACACGAGATGAACATCTCCTGCAGGTTGTAGCGTTTGTAATTATACGTAATAGCAAGCTAGTTCTCTGTTCGAATTGTAACAATACAGAGGAATTAGTCTGGCAAAGCTTTTGATTTCGAGAAAATCCTTTCTCCTTATTTCTTGGCTAGAATACAATGCTCATCCTATGTTATAAATACTAAAGCGACAATCTAGCAAGAACTCCCTATTTTAAGCCTGTCTTGTATTTATTTTTCTCAACTGGAAAACAACGTACAATTAAGTAAACAAAAAAGAAATAATCTAATGCGGTTCCTAATTTCAGAGAAGGCTTGAGTTTTCATTGTTCAACCAAATACTGTCTTAAAAAAAAAAGCTCAAAATCCAAACAAATAACATGATGTCGATTTCGGGAATACGCCATTTCAGATTTGGGAGGCATTAAGAACTCTTTTTATATTTTTAATACTTGTAGTTAGCAACCATCTTATGGCTTAAAGAACAATAAGCATCATTAAACTCATACAGGCATTCAAGGTTTGTTTAATAATGATTATACGACTAAATAGGTTTTGAATGGTTAGTCGTAGACCCATGGTTCCAACTTAAGACATGAATTAAGTAAGATAGGTTTTCAACTATGACAGCTTTAATGAAAAGTGTATAGGTTTATATTTTTATATAGACAGCGTAAAAAAATAGTAAAATATAAACAATTTTCACAATCTGAATTAACACCGAATATCCTTGCCACGTGATCAAACTTCCCGACGATATTTTTAATTAAAGTCTTTCCAAAGGGAATTAAAGTCTTTCTAGGACTAATTTCTAGAGAAAGACACATGTTCTGTCTAAGTAGTCTTTGCATATAAGAATCGAAAAACCAATGTGTGAAAGGATGGACAGTGTGCTGTAGTACGAAATTGATAGAGGAAACACTCTTGCATGATGCTTTTCCGCCGTTATGTTTTTTCTGCTATTACAAACAACTTCTCTATTATAATCTATTGAGAACTGGTGCATCAAGTTCATTTTCCCCTTTTGGCTTGTCTCGCAACCACAGTAATGATTGCTGTGGAAGATGTTTGAAACTTTAGTTGGCTAAAATTTATTGAATCTCCCCGTGCGGTGATGACGACACATGCTACGATCTTAAATGAGGAGACTTGAAATACCTGTTTTAATATATTGATTAAAATATTAATTAAATATCCGTTCTTTTAAAGTAACAGACTATAATCTTAAATTATGATTGCTTCCTTATCAGTTGGTCTTAATATCTACTCCACCTCAACAATAGTCTTTGGTTCATATTTTTAATAATTGACGCCTATAATAGTTTCAAATGCAAATCAGTAAAAACTACAAGTCAGGGAAACATGAGCTCTGAATAAAGTTACATGTCAGAAAAACATCACCGGCAGAGAAATATAGATGTTTCATTATCAGTGAAATTTCAAATGTAAACATTAATTATAAATTTCTATTTATAGAAATCAAACTTTCCGTCAGATATAAGCGCAGTCTTTATACGGCTCCTGAAAATGACGTTTCTTCTTCCCCCATCCTTGATCTAAAGTTAATTAAAAAATAAAAGTTTTACCGATTTTTCCTTTTCAGGTAATTTTGCGTAATGCATAACTGATGTTTTTTATAAAGATATCTCTAGGAATTTTTAAGGTACCTTTCTTCCTACAAAATAGCATAAAAATTAAACTTTTATGCAGTTTTCTATAAGATATCACGCAATCACAGCTGTCATAGTCCGAGAAACCTACCTTATTTGATTCATATCGAGAAGGAACCGTACAGACATTTCTAGAGATGTCAGTACTTATACGTGCAGCCGTTTTCAAACATTCTCTACAGGTGAGATAAGCTATCGTTCTGGTGGCGAAACTCTAAGCTTTGATTTAGGGAGTTTCATTCTAATTTATTTTATTTGCCATACATTAAAAGCAACGGTTTAGCAGCATATGGCTTTAGTTCATGCTTCATGCATTATGCTCGTATGCAGGCAGGCATGCCATAAGACGCAATCACATACCACTTTCCTTCGTGATGTGTCATGGAATATCTCCTCGAGAGTTGTAATCTGTGAATATCAACATGAGTTAGTTAAATTACAATAAAATAAATAAAAAAAGGAACACAGTCTAATTAGTTCAATTAATTAGTTTATGCTCCTCACTGCTGTTCTTAGAAGCTACTCGAAGAACAAGTGAGTTGTTTCTCTCCAAGGCATTTTTACTGTTATTAATTATGCTATCTACAAAAAGACGTGTTCAAATATTTTCTAATAATGAAAAAAAATTTCTATATAAGTTATGCATACAGTGGTGGCCAAAATTGTGGACACTTTTGGAAATTTTTATGTTTTTGAACTTTGTATGCTTATAGAAAATGTTACGTTTCGCAAAATGCAAACTTGTATATATCATTTTAAAGAGAATTTATTACTGAATTCAATACAAAACAAAAATTCAATTATTTGCAATACAAAAACGTTTTAATTACTTTAATATAAATAAAAAACACAGTTATGAAGTAGTTTGCAATGCTAGCTTCCTGGCCAATCAATGTTCTGTTCTGAGAACAATCAAATGTTAATAACTGCCAGTAGAAGCTGACATCATGTTTACACTTGAAACAATTCATTATTTTGCTTTGTTCTATAGAAGGAGGACCTGTTTCTTATACACTGCAATTACAAGTAGGAATTTTTTAAAAAATTTTTAATACGTATTTAGTCAAGAAGCAATGACATCAAGTAAAAGAGTAGATTGGACACCTAGAAAGAGATGTAATATTATAGTGTTACGAGAAAGTGGTCTTGCAATTTCTTGCTGAAATTGCAAGACAGGTGGGTGATTCAGTAACTACATCTGGAGTCCGAAAGTTTTATTTACGATATCAGGAAAACAAATTCAATAAAAAAACAAAGAAGGAAAAGGCCGAAAAAGGTGCACCACATCTATTGATGACAGAAGAATAAAAAACTATGTCTCCAAGATAGAAAATGTCATTAGCGGCCATCAGAAGTGATCTGAATTATGCTGGTGTTTCTGTCAGTTCAAGAACAATCAGGAGAAGATTAACAGATGTTGGACTGAGAGGTAGAATTCCACGAAAAAAGCCTTATCTTAATTTTCAGCAACGAAAAAAAAAAAGACTACAGTGGGCAAAGGAACACATTAAATGGACAGATGATCAGTGGTCACAAGTTATATGGAGTGATGAAAGTAAGATATCGTTATTCGGTAGTGATGGGCGAAAATATGTAAGACGTAGAATAGGAGAAGAGCTACATCCTAGTTTTGAGAGTTTCATCCTAGAGAGTAGTTTCGTACAAAGAGCATTAAATTGTTGTCATGGCCAGGAAACAGTCCTGACCTCAATCCTATCGAAAATTTGTGGCACCGTTTGAAAACTCTTGTCCGAATGAGGCGCCCATCAAATAAAAGGGAACTAATTGAGGCTATAATTGTTTTCTGGCATCATGTAATAAGGAAAGAAGAGCTTGAAACTCTTGTCAGCTCAATCAAACGTCGATGTGAAGCTGTAGTAAAAAATAAAGGGTACCCTACTAAGTATTGATAACTCACTCAATGCAATCATCACTATCTAATGTATATCGATAACTATTAGCGGTTAACTTTTATTCTATTGCAAATAATTGAATTTTGTTTTTTTGTTTGAATCAGTAATAAATTCTCTTTAAAATGATATATACAAGTTTGCATTTTGGGAAACGTAACGTTTTCTATAAGCATACAAAGTTCCAAAAACATAAAAATTTCCAAAAGTGTCCACAATTTGGGCCACCACTGTATATGCTATTTACGTTATAGAACTAAAAAACAAATTGCACAATTTATTTTCTTATAATAACAACCAAAAGAAAAGCATTTGTGACTTGTAATGCATCCAGTTACGGTTGCACGTGTAGAAACCTCATCACTGGTATATTTTCCAGTTTTTTATTTTCAAGAAATATGGAATAGTAAATTGAATTGCTTCTAACTAATTACAGGCATACCTCGTTTAAATGCGTTTCACAGATATTACACCTTTTATGGGTAACAACGTTATGGCTATAGTGCCGATCGATGTTATTTTGCCAACAGAATTTGATAATTTTGAATTTCTCTATCACATAACATTTCAAAGTTTTTGTTATCATACTGAAATTGGGTTAAATAGTAATCGCACAATGATTTCAGAAGGCTTAGTTACAAAAAATACCCTATTTTATAGAAACCATACGCAGAACAACTCTCTCAACGTTTAAAACTTTCTCATGTATATTTCATTGGAATTAAGGTGTTTAGAATATTACAATTGTCTCTAAATGTTAACATAACAAAACAGCAAAATTACCAGTAAAGTGAAAATGTCTCTAATTATAAATAAAAAATCGGAAATTATTAATTTTAAACAGAAGGAACATGGCGAATGTTGAGGCTGCCCGAAAATTAGGCCTTGTGAAACGCCTGGCTGTATAGGAAACCATTAAATTGCGCGCAGTTTATCCGAATTTTTATCCTTTCTTTTGAAGCCGAAAAATAATATTTTCATTTTCAAAAACATGGTACATAAGGTAATACACAAAAGATTAAGAAATAGAAAATACTTTGTTGCTTTATAGACTATATGTACAAATATATATAATGTGAATATAGCTATTATCTGCCATGGGATCAGAATTTCGCGTGATTCTTTTTTATTGCGATGTCACCAGATGACTCACTTATCGTAGCAAACAGAAGCCGAAACCGCGTAACCCCGAAGTATGCCTGCATGTAAAATATTGTGTTTTCTTATCATTAAGGAACGATTTTTACTGAGAAATATAAAAAATATTTGCACAGTTATTAGAAGTGTTGGATAAGGTCAATATTTGTTTTAGTTCATTTAAATCTTGGTATTTATTTACCTGAATATGTTAAATTCTTTGGAATTGCATTCTTATTAAAACTTAGATAAAATATGCATTCAAACTGAGTATAGGGGAGAATGCAACTCGCAAATTTTATAGAAAGATTTATTTATTAGAAAGCAAATTTTCAAATATCTGTAAGGAAAATGACATATAATATACTTGCGTGTTTAGTTTATTTGTTTGGAAATTTCCAATTTTTTTTCCTACTTTGATCAGCAATGGAATACGGATATTAGTTTTCAAATAGGGGAATATATATCTATCAAAACATAAGTGAAAATCAAATAAAGGCTTTTGATCAAACATTTTCAAACGATACATAACTCAAAATATAATACATAACTCAATGTATGAATAACAATAGAACGAAACTTCTATTTATTTCTTTACTTGAAAGCTGCAGATAAACGTTTAAAAATAAATTTTTAATTAAATTTAAAATTAATCTTTTGCTATAAAATTGTTAACATTATTAAGATTTACAATTGTAATTTAATTTTTTTATGTAATAATATTTAAATTTGTAAATGCAGACTTTTGAAAATTTATAAACGAAAATTTTTGATAAAGGATTCTTGAAGTCAAAATTTACTTAATTTTACTTACTTTTGACTCCCCCCAGCGAAATTCCTACGTCTTTGTAGTTGCACCTGAGTCCAACATATCCTTCTGCGCAACTAGGATAAAAGAAGGAAATACAAGAGCATTAGACGCAAAGCGATATACTAGTTGTGTCGAAAATAAATTAATAAAACAAGTAGCTAATAACAATATTTTTTTTTTTTGTTAGATATGTGCTATTTTGCCAAAATCCGCTGACTGACTGCTGAGGAAATTATTGCGAAATTTTGAAAATGAAAAAAAATTTGCTATTATAGAAATTGCTGTTGAATGAATGCTGGCGAATAAAACTAAGTTTATATCTACTAATGGTCAATAAAATATCCGTCAATTTTATATCTACTAATGGTCAATAAAATATCGAAACTCCCGTCTGCTATTAAGATGGTTGATTACAATTTTTTTGGCATGTGTGTGTATCAGTATCACATTACACCAATCAAGAGCAGGCGAATCAAACACTTCGGATCTAATAAATACATAATTAGCAATGCGAAGATATCTCTGGTCCGTAACTAGACAAGGGAAACTGATGGAAATAACTGAAATCTAAACTGAAATGAATGAATGAATGAATAACTGAAATGAGAGTTGACCAGTTCCGTTAGCAGTGTCTTACAAATAGAAGCGAGTCAACAAATGAGTATGACTGTTATTACTAAATCTGTTAATCCGGTGGGCCAGAATAACCTAGCGTTAATCAGTGCAGCAATTATGTTGCTTGTTTGTTTTACATGATGAAAACGTTGTTAATTCTGAAGTCTGGGGGAAGGGAAAAAGAGCTTTTGTGTATGTGAATCATTATATTTTGTATCTAGGTTTTACTATTAACTCAGGGTTTTACTATTAGAAAACCCTGAGAATACTAAACTGAATTTTTTTGGGCCTTATAAATTTGTAGGTATGCATGTCACTCTGTAAGGCTCTCCTGCACTTGTGGCTTTACTAGATAAAATATTATCACTAGGATTAAAGAGTACTAGGTATAAGATCTGCTATTCAGTAATTGCAGTTCTTGATTTTAGCAAGAAACAGGCGATTCCTCGTTTTCGAGAACCGATCGTTCAACTTTCTTGTTATAAGCAATCAAGATGCATCTTACTAAAGAGGAAGACATATATGGTATCTCACAAAAAGGACAGATTTTGGATTACCTAGAAGTTTATTTATATTTTTTAAAAATTGTCAGCACTTTTGTTATTAGTTTCGTTACCTACTAACACTCCGATTAACTGAGCATTTGTTACTTTTAAATTTCGATATAATGGAGCAGTACACTAAGAACAACACGTTGTAACCACGAAATGTTACTATAAAAACAGAATGCGGTTCTTAAAATCCGCCCCATTTATGTGCTTGTTTTGGATAAAATAAATGAATACTGCGAATAGTAGTTTTAACAGCGGCTAAATGTCAGACGTCTCTCGAAATAAACAAAACATTGTTTCAGGAAAGTCTCCCAAGAGCGTGATTGAACTTCGTGGCGGTGATCAGAAATAGCCTGCGAGGATTTGGGACCTGCTTTGCAACGTCATTTTATGGGGTTGTATCAAATCGAATATTTTAACAAATCGCAAACAATTTTCGAACTAAACGTTGTTTTTGTTACTATAATATAATAAAAATATTTCAGCGGTGTAAAGGTCTCCAGAGTTCAAATTAAGAACCTTTCATAAATATATTATATGTATAATGTCTTATTAGTTTTTATTAATAATTTTTAAAATCTTCCTTATTAGGAAATAAAATAAACATTTTGGTTTTCTAAAACTCTTTGACTGATGTATTGCATTTTAAAAACCTGCACAGCTGCACAGTTTATGAGACACACTTTATTTCTGAATGATTTATGGAAAATTTATAAGAAATCTGGGTATTTCGTTTTGATTTTTTCCATGAATTTTTATATGAACTTAATAGGACATACTGCACATCAGCGTTGACAACAAATCTATTTTTAAAAAATGAAAACGCTTTTCATACTACATTAGTATGAAATGTTATGGTGGTATGAAGTGATAATATAAACAGTAATATATATGAAAGGTTGTTTGCTTTTTAAGGAATCGCTGAAAAATTCAATATAGCATGTTTTTATTCTTAAAATGTTTTTATTTTTAAATTCATTTTAATTATGTTCTTACATAGTTAAATTATTCTTTCCTTACATAATATATTGAAAGAATCCATACTTTTTAAACTCAATATATTTCTTGAGGTGACTAGATAAAAGATTATATTCCAGTTCAATAAATTGAATAAAACTGGTTCTCACGTTAAGATTAAATATCACTAAGTAATTTTAAAAGCTCGGAATTTCATAGTCACCAAGTTTGAATTTCCTGCAATATTATATTTGCAATTTTTTATTTATGCAATAATTAAAAAATTTCGAAAGCAACTTTCTCATTAGAAAATAAATATTTAATATAGTCCTTAACTTCCTATAGTTGACAAAATATACCTAATGCATGATTCTGTGTTACGAATTGTAAGAAAATATATCCTTTGAATATGTTTTCAACATTCACAATAGAAGAAAACATGAAACGGACTGCGTATTTCAGTGAGGAACAGTTTCTGAGAAACACGCAAAATTAAAATTTATGTCGTCCTGTCTGCGCGAGGAAATTAACCAATATTTTTACATCTTTTTAATTTCAAGCACTATAAGCATCGAAGCTGACTAAAAACTTTGCATTTGTTAACTATTGAAATACTCAGCAGTAACGCTTTCGTAAACAATTTCGTATAGGCAAACTAAAATTATTTTATTTTAATCAGCTTTGATATTTATAATAATATTTAAAATAGAGACAAATTTCTTTGCATCGAGACTCATAACTTTCATTTCATTGAGGAGTCCTTTTCCACTCCGATGTTAAATGGATCATTTTGTACTTCATTATAGATAATTTTTGATCCATTCACACAGAAAATAAAAACAACTGAGCTAATTTGCTTTACATATTTTGTATACAATAGTCATTCAGAATTAGAAAATCACATGACGAGAAGATATTTTATTTGTTTGAACCTTATTTACGCAGTGAATCTTCTCATTTATAAAGAAATCCAACAAATTTGCTATAACTTTTAGCGTTATTCCTCCTTGTTGAAATACATTAGTTATGTTTTCTTGAAGATTCACCGTTATTCTTAACTGTTTGCGCAAAACTTGGCATCATCATCATCATCTTCAAATTTTTCCAATATGAATAAACGTAGCTTGTTTCAGTGTAAATGTAGTTTCTTTTTATCCGCAGAGCACTTCGAAATTAAGGTGTTGGATTGAATCATAACTAAATTAGCTACAAGGAATTACTTTTAATTCTTACAAACGGATCCTTTTGTACTTTGCAATAGAAGATAATTTTGGCATCGTTCACACAACTACAGATCATAATAAATTGATGCACATTGCATTCGAACACGAACTTAAAGCAGTTTAATGTTCCTAAGAGATGTCCGGAAACAGAAAATAAATCGAAACATAAATTCTCGAAAATCGGGAAAGAATCTCGAAAAATAGGATACAGGATCATGAGAAAGGAGCCTCGAAAAGCAGAACATATGACAATTTTTCTCATGTCTTGTAAAGTAATAAAATACAGTTTTGAAAATCATTGTAAAGAATAATATTTTGCTCCATTACTATTCGATTTATTAGTGAATATTTTTTGTTAGCAAATGGCATCAACATAAACCACCGACTTAATTTCATCCAAGTTATATTCCGCTAAAAAAAAAAAAAAAAAAAAAAAAAACTTTTCGGTAGACCGTCGCAACACGGAGGGTGGGAAAAAGTGAAATCCGATTCTTAGTGTCACTTCCGCGTAACGGATGAAACTATTTTTATCCCTCTGATACTAACATTAGTCATAAACTCTTTTAAACGCACGTCACAGATTATATTTCACTTTTCAGAACTCCACCCTACCCTGTCGTCTGAATTGATGTTTCTGAGGCGGTAATGATCTCCGAGATGGCAATTTGTAATTACAACACAGCCGGTGTAATTTCCTCTCCTTTTTATGTGTTCTGCGTAACACAAAATGCTAAAAATCATTGCATCATTTACAAAAGTTAAATGGCTGATAACGGTGGAACTGAGTACGTTTAAACTCGTGAATGCAAAATAATTAAGATTAACTACAAACATGTATTCCGACCTTTTATTTGGTATAAGCATTTGCTAGAATTCTCATCAAAGGTAGGAACTGACAATGGCCGCCGAATACTAGTAGTTCATCCTAGACTTGGATCCCAAAGAATAAACACCATGGCTATATAGAATCTTCTTGTTTTTGCCCATATGTGACTTAAATATAAAGAAAGTTCCTTTAAAAACTCAGCGGCCGAGCGGTAACGTCGCTGAACACTGGTAGTTCGGTCCGAGGTTCGAATCCCCACGAACGGGCTGGCTGCATGGGTGTTTTCGTGGTTTTCCCCATGTGTAACGTGTATACGAGCCAGTTTCCCTTAAAAAGTCCTCCACGAAGGCATCCCTCCCTTAAGGCAGATAGCCCTCGACTGCTTTGCCGTAATCTAATAAACCAAACCAAACCTTTAAAAACTCTTTTGCTTCAGCAGATATCTCTAGCATGGTTTGTCATAAAAGAATCGAGCAAAAGGTTCAATATGTAATAAGTGCGTCAAGATGATATCAGATATTTGAGGTGATTTTATTTGCGCAAGTCTTTTGCTTATGCAGAAAAAAAAATTTTTTTTTTGTAAAAGAAGCCGATTAAGGATTCCGGATACCTCAGACGATAAAAGACCCATTTCCCGGAATATAGCATTCGATCTCTAGACAGCACTCAGATTATATAAATTTTCGACGAGAAGCGTACAACGCAAGTTCTCTTTTTTATGCTTCAAATTATTCAGCTTATTCATTTAGTAGTCTTGAATGCATATTAAAGTGGATATTGAGCAAAGAAGAAGTTAAAAAGAAGCAAAAATAAATTATAAAAAGATAGGCAGCAGCAACAAAAATAAATTATTCAAGAAAGGTGGTTTCTTCGTTAAGGAAAACTGAAATTAGAACTATCAATTATAATTTAATTAAAAAAATTGGATGAATAGGGAAAACTTCAATGAAATGTAATTCATTGTTGAAGTCGTAGCAAGAAAAAACTAAAAGAATAATTAAGAGGTAATTATAATAAAAAATAACAAAAAGGAAAAATAAATAATGTCTGATATATTAAAAAATTAGTATTTAAATTTGCTTAACTGCAACTATGAAGAAGACGATTATAAAATAGTATATTAGCTACCATACAAAGGAAGAAATAATGCTTACATGCTAATGTATACATACTGCTTACAAAATTAATTTTTCCAAGTACAATTCACTGCTAATGCCAAAAATCTGAAAAATTTAATTTATAAGGTTTTACATGTCTCATAGTTTTCAGTACTAAATTTAATATTCCATTCACGCTTACACAAGAAGAACACAGACAGACACCCAATTAGACAAACCAGAAAAGAAATTTATGGTATGGGAATGTTGCATTTATAGATACCTATTCGAAAGAAACTCATCTCTATTTACATTACAGAAATAATAAATAACGCCAAAAAACCGTACAGCTTGATGATTTTTTTTTTTTTTTTTTTTTTGTGTGTGTGTGTGTGTGTGTGTGTAGGTGTGCTTCGAATGGGATTAGGTCCTCATTAGAACGCTATAGCTATGCTATCGAAGCAGGAGGCCAGTTTCACATACTATTTATTTGAATATTTGTCGAAAGTATGGATTAGTATTAAACGAATTAATTAAAAAAAAAAAAAAAAAAGAAGAAGAAGAAGAAAACAGAGCGATAAAAAGAACACAGCATTCGTAAGACATTTTGTCTGAAAATCTATTTTAATTGTCAATATGTCGATATATTAGGTTTTTTCGAAGTAGGAGATGTGAAATACGTGCAATGCCCTCGCCGGGACTCGAACTGGGACCTCTCGAATACGTGCCGAGTCTGCTACGTTACACCACGAAGGCATGCAGAAAGGAGAGAACAAAATACGGGTGTAAATGCTTCTTAATGGATATTTTTGCTTTTGGATCTGGCAACGCCAGCTAAATGCGTGACGAAATTGAATATAACTTGAAGCTTTAAGCCTGATGTGGATGTTCTTTGTTTTTAAGTTTGTTTCAGTCGTCATTATAAACTGTTTTAGGTTTTAGAATAATATTTCTTGAACCCTGATTACATTTCTTGAACCCTGATTCTGAACCCTGGCAACGCCAGCTAAATGCGTGACGAAATTGAATATAACTTGAAGCTTTAAGCCTGATGTGGATGTTCTTTGTTTTTAAGTTTGTTTCAGTCGTCATTATAAACTGTTTTAGGTTTTAGAATAATATTTCTTGAACCCTGATTACATGAGCTTTTAGAGTTTTCAGCAGCAATTTAATCCATCAAACATTCTCATTTGCAATGGTTTCTAAACAGTGCGTTATGGTGCACAATTTGGAAAATGAATTAAGCAACCTCTTCTGGCTATTATCCAACAGATGTGGCTTACATAGTAGTTGTTGAATGAAAGTGGGATGCGAAATATTATAGTATTTTTATTGAAATCACTCTTAGCCCATAGCTCACGTGCTTTTAGAAGAGGGTTACAGGCGAAAACACCGCGGGTGAGGAAAAAACAGTGCAAGGCGAAAACGTCGTCATACAAAATATCGTAGGAGAAAAGAAAGCAATGCGAAAACATCATGGCATAAAATATCGTTGTCGAAAATAAAGTGGTTCAAAAACTTCGCAGTTTTAAAACATCGTCGTCCAATATATATCGTTGTAAAAATAAAGCTTCTACAAGCCATCCTATGATGATAACATCCCAGACGTGCGCTTTTCAGGCTTTAGAAGTTGTAAATGCATATTCGCATAATGATTTTGGGGAGCAAGAATGAATGAAGAATATTTTCACTTTCATATTTCATGTTTTTGAATTATATAATAATTTTTTTCAGAAAAACTGAGGAATTTATGCATTCAAAAGCTGCAAATCAGTAAAACACTAAAGTTAATAGTTATAAAAGTTATAAAAGTTAATAGAATTTTAAGCTTACATAATTCAATAATAAAAGACTTATATTGATGAATTTCTTTTATAAATTTTTATTGGTAATTTTTCATAAAAGATATAATTTAAGAAGATTTGAAAAAAGGAAGATGAAAAACTGCATGAAGTTACCTCTATTAAAATTCTTTCAATAATTAATTATAAAACTATAAATTATTTAACTAATTTTTGATTAAGAAAGTCAACGATTTCAAAGCGAGTAATGTCAACGTTGTATAGAGAAAAACATTTTTATCTCCAGCGCGTGAGACTGTGTATCGGAAATTCTAAAGATATGCTCGATTTAAAACTATTTTGCGATATTGCTCTTGAACTGAATTTTATGACTTGTGCGAAGAACATGGTATTTAATAAATAAAGGTAACACACAAAATGTAAAAAAAAACCGCCCCTTCGGACGTAATTTTTAAAAATTTTAAATTTTTTTATTTCATTTAATCGTCTTCTTAAAGCGTCATTAACGGTGCTATGTACAGCGTGCAGTTAAAAGTTTAGATGTCGATTTGTTAGTAACGACGAAATATGCCAGCTATATAATATTTCAGTAGAGAATCTAAATTCTGTTAACTGATGCCAGCAGCATTAATTTTCTACGTATTTCCAGTTTTTGGATGACTAACTTTCATTCTTACATTTTCACCAAAATTAATTAATTAATTAATTTAATGAAATATAAAAATAAAAAATATTCCTCATTCCTTCTTGAGCTCACAAATCATTACACGAATATGCATATATAACTTTTAAAACCTGAAAAACGCATATATATGGTGCTATCGTTATGATTGATATTATTTTTTACGACGATATTTTTAAACTGCGAAATTTTTAAGCCGCTGTATTTCCCACTACGATGTTTTGTGCCATGATGTTTTAGCGCTGCGATGTTTTCTCCTTGCTTTCTTTTCTCTCACGATGTTTTGTATGACGAGATTTTCCATTTACTTTGTTTTCTCCGCTATGTTTTCGGCGGACACATTAAAATCGAACCACCGATGTCTTGGTGCAGCTTGGTTTACCACCGATTATTGGTCTTGGTCCATTGTAAGGTTTACCACCGATGTCTTGGTATACCATATAATGGACTCTGTTGAAAAATCATTTGGCTTGAAAATACTTTCAAGAAGATAATGCTGAAAGTTCTTATGGGTTCAAGAATCACTCAGGGCCAAATCTTCAAAAAAATTCAGCTTCTGCAAAATGAAATCTTTCCGAGCTGCTTTATGACCACATACCGAAGCTGAAATTAGGTAACATGGAACTAACTGATTGATTAGTATCATTAAAAGATAAATATTCGTTACTCAAGTTCAAAACAAACCAGAACTAACAGTCTGACATTTTATTTCCCGCAAAACTGAATTGCCAGCATTTGGTGAGATAAAATCAGTTCAGAATTCGTGACAGAATCAGTTCAGAATGGAAAATGAAGACGGCTATTTCGGGTTTAACTCCAAGATTTCAAAAGACGAGTAATGTAAAAAAAAAAAAAAATACTTACTCGTTTTACTAATTAAGATTTATTTATATAGAAATGTTTGAACAAAAGGTATACTAATTTAATACATTTTACATAAAATACTTTTTCATTTTGATACATATGTTTCATTTACGTTGTAAACTTAATTAACATTCTAGCACCAACTACTCAATGTAAATGTTTGGTAAGCCTATGTTCTGACATAAAACTCCTTGAAAATTTTCTGATGATCTTACTATTTTACTGAACCGAAAAAATCTGGGAGCCATTGTAATAATGTATTTAAATAAGATACAGTTTTCGGAGCTTTGAAATGTAATATGATAAAAAGAATGTCATGTAGTCCAGATGATGACTTAAAAATGTTTGAAAGTAACAGTAAATAGAAAGTTTTACGAAAGACAGTTTACTTTAAATAAGTTGCATTTTGGTAAATTTACATCGCGTTTTCTTCAGATTGTATTTTTCAGAGGAAAAAAAAATCTATTCTTTTTCTGTGTTTGTGTGTGTATTACGAAAACATCTTTTCTAATACAATAATAAAAGTATGTAATTAAATTAGATCTATTTCAAAAGTATTTAAAAATATTTAAATAAACTTGTTGAAATGTTATATGTGTTAATAATTCATTTGCTTTTATTGAGAATGAAATATGTTAATTTCTTTTGAAATTTTGGAAGTAAAATTTTAAACTGCAAGTTGGCTAAAATCGATTTTAAAAATAAATAACAGTTTCTCATTTGGTTTGAAAATTACTTTCAAGAAGATAATACTGAAAGTTCTTATGTAAATAACTATGCAAGATTCTAAAGCAAAGTAACTACATTTTAGTATAGATTTCTAACTGAATTTTCAGCAAGAATTTACTTAAAAGTGAAAACGTAATGAGTAGCATTACAAGTGAATTACATAATTAACTCTACAAGAAATATCTCAGATAACACTAAATGTAAAAATTATATTGAAAATTCCGGACAATTATATGAAAAGTAACATATAGTATTATGTGATATTTATGGGCTAATTTCGAGATAAGTATGGGATCATTTAGAGATAACTATAGGAGAAGTAACATAAAGCAGAACATAAATTTTAAATTCATTTTGTTTTCTGTTAACATATATTTCTTGCATATATTTCTGTTAGCATATATTCTTATATCTAAATACTTACTGACAAACATATTCCCTGACATCTTTATAAAATATACATGTTCCCCCGTTGAGACAGAAATCTGCTACAGGACAAGGTTCTGTTGTCCATGGGCTTGACTCTGAAAAAGAAGTAGAAACTATCAATTACTAAAAGTTTCGAGAAGACTTTTTCTCTAGATGACTTAAAAAGCTATGAAACAAAAAAGAACCGTGAGTGTGCCCGATCGACTGTATTCATTTAAGAAATTTAAATAAATTCCTCTAAAATGCGGTCAGCCCATCCAGTCAGCAAAATGAGACTCGATTTCAATTTACGGTAAAGGCACAGTTTATTTTTTATAAAGATTTTCTGCTCCAAATACTAAACCTTATATGAAATGATTTATTTATGGAGAAGGCCATAATGATCCACTTTCGTGAACTAAAAGTCGAGCGCAAACACAAACAGAACCTTTCCCAGCTGTCATATCAAGATCATATGTACTAAACAACCGCCTCTCTGATCGATAAAGCGATGCTGGTCGCCGTATCGTGGAATACGATTCGAATCTAGGAGAAAACATGGATGCTTGGAGAAAACATGGAGTCTATGCAATATGGGGGCACTTATGAGCCGAAAATCCTAACTAGTGACAGGGAAAAAAGTATGGAAGACTCTCGGATTCGTTCCCCGCTTTAAGTCCCATCAAAATTAGACGGAAATGTACAGTTAGTGCGATGAGACTACATCTGTCAGACCATTTGGTACAGTTCTGGTGTTCCGCCTTCTTCTTCCTGTTCTGTTCTGAACCAACCAACATGAACATGCAGTGTAGGAAAACTCAATCCGGCCATGTCTGAAAGACTGTAAAAACATCATAGTGGAATTACAGAAGCATAGACGTATGAATCCATTTCGAGAGTGTACGCGTGGTCCTTTGCACAAGTAATCAGGCAAGTTCCTTACATTGCATTAACTACGGGGAATTCAGAATAGAGCACAAGGGATATTTTGTGAATTTACTGAATTCTAAAGCATTGTATAATAATTTATCTTAATATAAGAGTTAACATTGCAATTATACAATAGTTCAATACGACTTATGCACTAAAATAACTGTTTGCATTATAAGGTTTAGCCAAGTATGTCTATAGGAAGAATCAGGCTACCACTACCAGTTTTCCATATATTCATACTATTGATGATAAAGACTGGGTGAGTACGGAATTAAGATTAAACTCACGTGTAGTTGTAAGCGTGGATGTAAGAGTTGAAGTAGAAGGTGGAGAGGGTGAAGGTTTCTTGGTTGTCCTCTTTCTTGCAACTGTCAAGGTGGCTGAGGAAGAAACTGATTGCTTTTGGACTACATTACCAGCTCTACATTCGTAGACGCCACGGTCGGACGGTCTTACTCGCCGAATCACCAGCTTTGAGGTCCTCCTGCAAAAAATAACCACTTCATGTAATAATAAGAAAAAAAAAATGATTTCGGAAACAGGACTCACGCTGAAATTATGAAAATGACAATAATTAAACCTGATTAGTTCTCTCTTTAAGAAAGAACCTGATATAAAGTTAGTTGATTTAAAAGAAAGAGAAGGAAAAGGTTTCCCAGGAAAATCATTCTAGAAAAATGGCTTCTTAACTATTCTTTGTACGACGTACAAACAACAGGTAGTTTGTCTTCATTGTCAGAAATGGGCGATAGTTTTATATCTTAGTAGAAAATTGTCCAAATGTCAGCAAAATCCATAATATTTACCATTTGCAACGTAGACTAAATGCATGAATTTAAGCTATATTTATTAAGCACGTTTATTACGTATTTAAGCATTTTTGAGTAAATGGATGGATAATAATTTCAGAATGGTAAACTTAGAGTGTAATAATGAAGAGTACTGGTTGTTTTAATGATGGCACTGACGAATATGGTATGACAGAGGCAAAAATTTCGAATTCATTCATTTTGCAATGGGCCCTTTTTCTATCAAGGTTCATAATTATACTGATGAGTACCGCTTTTGTCATTAGGACCTTCCATACATTCAGTATTTGTACATCTTGATTTTCTACCGAAAATTAAGATGCGGATAAATAATATTACTATTTAGAGAATGTTAAAAAATTCTTTAAAGTTCCAGCGAGAAAAATGAGAGCAGAAAAGAGCTTAATACAGTTACAATGAATGGATTATTAAGCAGTTTATCATTGGTGTCCAACGTGCATGACCATCGACAGATTCACCTATATCTCTCACCAAGGATATAAAGAATCACTAGTTTGGGTATAGGAAATGACGATAATGACAATAACAGCAACAACAACAAGAAAGTCTTTATGCTAAGTTTCTTTATGTATAATGTTTGTGAGTAAACGATGAAGTAGACTAATTCTATGCACTATAAAATTGCCTATATTAAGAGTTTTGACTCTTAAATATTGCTATCTGAAAAGGCTATAAAGAAACAACCAGAATTGAATGTACCTTTCAACTATCTTGGGTAGATTAAACGGGAAATCGTTATCTCTCGGCAGTAATTTGTCGGGCACAAACAATGCTCGTGCAATATATTGTTATGGATTTTGTATTTAGTTTGCTATTTTTAGTAGAATTGTAATTAAATTGTTTCATTTCCCCCTGCAATGCTGCGCGCGACGAGTTTTAAGTGAAAGCTAAGCCGAAAAAGTAAAAATACAAGAGCACGCTCATTTACATTTAATAAATAGATATCTCGTAATTGTACTCTTTTGCTATTCAGTAAAATCGAGAAATTACCAGAATGTTCTCGTGCACGATTAAAAAAGCTTTAAAAGGCTGGAGGAAAACATCTCAGTTCATTTGTTTAATTAGGTCTTGTTGCTGATTGTAGCGAATTCGCGGTGAGATCGGATTAGCTTTCTCTGTGTGTTGGATTGCGTTCTATTAACGTTTATTAGTTCAAAATATAACTTATGTGAGATATTGTGATACTGTATGAATATCGCTGAAGAAATCTTTCAGCATTTTGTTTTATTTCTTGTGATAAGAACAAATTTTATTAACTTTTTCTCGACTTGTGCATTCAATCCATTACCAACCTGTACGCACGCAACAATATTTTGCTTCTTACAAATGATGCATATACACATAAAAAATAATTTTAGTTCAGTTTAAACATAAAGAGAAGAAACAATTTAAAAAAAATCTTTTTCGCTTTTAATATTTATGACTTTCTTAACTTTCCCTTTTTTTCCTAATATTTGAATACTTATTGTTTGTTTATAGGACCTTATGAAGATGGATATGTTTGTTAGCTCTTTGGAAATGGTGAAATGGGTTCCATTGGAGAGTTGCATAAATATAATATTTTTTTCAAAATATTCTGTTTAGCTTGGTGTATTGTTGTCAAGTGATATATGTATGTTTATTAATGTGTGGGGAAGAAATGCTTTTTTAAAAGTTCTCGAAATTCTTGTTTGATTCTTCTTACTCAGAGCGCAATAATGTTGTTACAGCAAGTAAAGTAGTAAAGTAGCAAGTAGTAGTACCACCAGCATATTTTAAAGTAAAGCATGCTATTTTTTTGTTTACGTCAAGGTGACTCATAAAGCCTTCAGTTTTGGGTTCCATCTATTGTGGTTTAATGCTGCTTTTCAGTTTGTCACCAGCGATGACATCTGGCTTTGCTACTTTCACCTTCTGTCGCCTTTTAGTTTGTTTTGCTGAAGATTTGCGTCACAGCTACTTTTGGATGATTCGTAGCTCGCATTCTTAACCTCGGTTCAATTCAAAAACATTATCTGCGTTTAAGGTTTTATATTATAGGCATATCTTTATTTGAGTATAAGTTCACTGAAATAATATAAAGATACAAAAGTTTTATTTATGTATACTATTTAGTATACTTCATTTATGTATGCTATACTATATATGCTATACTATTTAGATTGTTTTAATACTTATTGATGAGAACCTGTAGAAAGAACTTAATAATAACCATCAGAAATGCTTAGGCTGGTTATGTTTCAGCGTCTGAATAATGCGATGGCACGAAGAAAATGGTATTAGTTTCACCTCAGTTCTATAAATATTGAAAATTTCTGGGTTGAACCTGTCTTTTATGCTCGTTTATTTCTTCTTTTACTTAAATGAATAACGGCATACTCAGAAAAATTAACATGGTTTACATTGATGGCAGCATGTAAGCAGATGCCACAGAGATACAATTGTTTCACTAAAAAAGTAAAAGAAATACTACCAGAATTACCCTGTTCCACGGATATGATTAACTCTCACTATCAATATTTTTGAAAATATTTTAAATAAATACTTATACTATACTTTGCAACCACTCATTATTTTGTGAAAGGGCTTTGAAAATTCGTGAATATGTGGTAGTCGCATAAACAATTTTTTGCAAAATGAGTTATTTTATTTTCTAAGAGCAGAGCTAAGTAGGACAGAAAACTTTGTACTGAAATAAATGCAGATAGATCTTTTCCTTGCTATTTATAGAACTTTTTTTTAAGTGAATACATACCAAGCTTTTAGAAACATGATTAAATTCTACCTGCAATTCTCATCCCAAAGACATGCGAGGCAGGGTTCCAATACAGAAGTTTTTTAAATATTTTTTTTTGAGATGAGTAATTAATTATTTGGTCGTTTACACAGTGATGTCTTTGACAATCTTTATGGCTCATCTTCCTTGATGAATCCGCCCTGAAAGAGTTCAGGTTGAAGATAAAAACCTGTAACAGCTTAATGACTTTATTTACTTCCATGTGCTTATAACTTCATCGCATAAAAGGTTTTTCTTCTGACAAGCAGTTTCAGAGAACATTAGATAATTTACTAGAATTTTTATGTCAATTAATTTTAAATGATGTATTTTCTCTTCAGCTGCTTATTGTATTACTCCTTGTTCCAGTTGGACTTAAGCCTCTGTTAATTATTATAACAACGTAGAAATTCTTTATTCTAATATAATAAATTCTCTTAAAATTAGAAGAAGTTTCCCGACTTTCATATGGAAACTAAGATTTAGTGATAACTGGTATCTCTGAACATCTAATTATAACATATATTTGTTTCATTCGTATTTCTCGATTAACTTTTGTCTATATAATCCTTTCAGAAAAACGGGTTTTTTTAACTTTAACATTGATCATAAAAATATACTTCAAATCACACAGTTTTACGAAATAAGATTCAAAATTTTATGAAAATAGGTAAATACACTGTAAGAAGATACTATGAAAATGAAATTTAATTTTGAACATAATATATAATTAGAAATTTTCGTCCAGGAGACTAAACTTCGCTTATAGTCTTTGCTAAACTTCTTTTGTATTCATTTGCTTTTAGAATATGCAGTATTAGAAAAGTGGCAATAATGAGTTATAAAACATAAGCCATTATGATCAGGATGCGATATTCATTTTTATTTTAGCTGTTTTGTAGCTTAGTAAAAAAAAATCTTGCGGAAACATTAAGTTGATACATGCAGATTTCAGCATAAACACTTCGGGTTTAAATATATAAAACATACATGTTTCGATAATATTACTTTCATGGTGTTTTCTTTCCTGTATTCAGTACGATCTTCAGCTCATCTAATTAAATAAATTTTGAGCAAAATAAATCAAAAAATAAAATATGAAAGATTTCAGATTTTAAATTACGTCCCAAAAGGGCGTTTTTTTACGTTTTGTCTGTTACCTTTATTTACTAAATATCACGTTCTTCGCAATGAAACCATAAAATTCAGTTCAAGAGCAATTGCAAGAGAACATTGCTATTGCTCGCTTTGAAATCTTTGAGTTTGTTAATCAAAAATTCGTAAAGTTTTACAAAATATGAAAGCGATAATAAAACAAATTCTAAATTTCAAATTTTGGCTTCCACATGTCCATATTCGCAGTAGGATTACGTCATTCAATATTCGATGACTCTGGGTACCGTTTGATCATAATGCAAGAAATATACATACTGTTACGAAATGCACAGGTGCGGTAAGAAGGCTTCCCGCAAAGCAGTTTTAGGGTTGACATAACATGGCAAGGGAAGGCAGGGTTGGCGACAAAATTAGCGATATACCATAAACGGATGGAGAACCTTCTGGAACGAATTCTTGCCGGTTTAGCCCAGAATGTTCTCGAACACAAGCCGAAAGCTATGTAAACCCTGCTGGTCCGCAGTCAGTTAGAGTGTGTGCCTCGCATAGAGTGCGAGAGGGAGTGCTTCGCCTAGCGAGCTGATAGAGAGTGTGTCTCGTCAGAGTGCGAGTTAGTTAGAATCGAGGTGGTGTCTCGTCTAGCGAGTCAATGTTGTTGAGTTGACTGCCGGGCAGCGAGTGCACAGTGGGTCGTCGAGTTCACCGAAGGAGTCTCTTAGTTAGTGCATCGTCGAGAGAGCGTGTTAAGCTCTGAGAACGACTGAACCGAAGAGTCGGGAGCCG